GTGTGTGTGTGTGTGTGTGTGTGTGTGTGTGTGTGTGTGTGTGTGTTTGTAAAGAGACTGCAGTAGAACAGATGCAGCGTTACAAACAGAAGAAAGACTCAGCTCCTTCAGTCAGATGATGATGTTTGATAAAAACAGTGTATTTCAAGGGTTTAATCTTGTTTTTCACAGCAGCTTTTAGTGATTTATTTTATTTTAAAGTGTAAAGTGTGTCTGATATGGTTTATGGTGAGTAGGGATGCATTAAGACCCCTTATGAGAGGGTTATAAGTGAGCCCATTGCTCTCTTCAAAAACACACCGAGCTTTAGTCAAACCTTAGCGTCCCTCGGATGAAGGCCACGAGGTTAGAGACCTCTTTGCACTACTTCAACCACTGCCTGGCTCTGAGCAGTCAAAGGAAAARAATTCTTGGGGAAGCTTTTATAAATCCTGAGAAGTACAAAGAGGTCTGTATTTCAATGCCACAGGCATCACATGGACCATTGTCATGGAGTCCCATCACCATTTTGTGGGGGTTGAGCAGATTGTGTCCAGTTAGGACTCCAACCAGTGTACTTAGAGTTCTCCTTGTAAGTATTCAGATTGCTTTTATTGTCATTCAAACGTAATATCAGGGATGCAWTGTAGAATGAAATTCAGTTACAATCACCCATTCAAGAAAAACACACATGACAAAAACATGGGGGAACAGGTTAACAGGTCATGCGCAACAGGGTTGTGCTACCTTTTGCAGCTTGGAAATACACAATAGGAGAGATGAGTTTAAAAAGTTGCTCTGATCCTATGTTCACATCATAAACACAGAGTCATATGTGCAAAAAACACTCGCAACAGAGCAGACAGCTGGGGATTGGTGGGGGCTTGGATCAAACACATGAGATGGGGGCGGGATTCAGTGGAGCCGAAGCTTTCCTTAACCTTAGATTTGATCAGTTCCTGTWCCTGTCTGCAGTCCGTCAGCTCCCTACAGAGGATTGAGTGTTGACGTCTGATCCAGTCCTGTAGGGCAGTCCAACAGATTGTTGTTGAGGTACCTACAACAGGCTCTGGTCCTTTGAAGTGRGCCTGAYTGCCAGCTTTTGTAAGGTAGTCAGCTCTCTGGTTACCATTAATTCCAGTATGTCCTGGTACCCATKGCACAGTAACACTGTTATCAGATTGKTTTTTCCACCTACCAGACTGGCGTAGCCTTACTGCACTGGATGCGACCTCCCCTAAAATATATAAATCTAGTGGAGCCAGGTCCAGTAGGACTTCCATGGCTGCCGTGGGTGTTGTTCTGAAGGACCTGTGATGYTCAGGCAGGACATTTGTTGCACATGGGTGAGAATCACTCTTGCCACCCCAACTTGGACTGGAAGTTCCAGTCTGGAACCCACCACACTAAAGCAGCATAGCATAGCATGGGGCAGACTATGGCCGTGTAGATCCATCTGATAAACTTTGGGGTAGCACCCCAATACCTGCAATTCTATGGCACTGGTGTAGGCACATTGCTGCCTTCTTACACTTTTCATTTACAAGTCTTTTCCACTTCAGCTTCCTGTCTAGACAGACACTCAGACATTTGGTTTACTCTGCCAGGGAGAGTCCTACACCCTCCAACTTTGGAAGTGAGTACCCCTTACTTGACTTCTTATAACCAGAAAGAACCAATGCTGTCTTATTTGGATTGACATAAAGTTCCTGCTTGAGGCACCATCTGGATACTATGTTTAGTCCCCTCTGCATTAGGTTACATTTAGTACCCAGGCAGAAGCCTTCTATAAGTATGACCAAGTCATCTACATACCCTTGTGAACGGAGTCTAGATCCATTCTACTCATTTGGTAGGCTGTCAACAACCAGAAGCCAGCACAGGAGTGGGATTACTTCTCCCTGTGGACAGCCCCGTTTGAGGTCAACAGTTAYTGAGCWGTCCCCCAGAGTTGAAGATGCTTTCCTTGTCCGAAGCATGAAAACAAATCAATTTGTAGTTGTCTCATCCACACCTTAAATGGCAAGTGCTTKTTCTGTGGCTTCTACAGGTACATTGTCAAATGCCCCCTGTATGTCCAAGAAGYAGCCAAGCGCATACTGTCCACATGTCAGGCTGTGTACTTTTATCAAAACATCAGGTAAGGCTGTTTCTGTAGACCTACCTCCATCTTATTAATATCAGAGCTTCCCTAGCACACTATTGCCATAAACTCCTGTGATGGAAGTGGCTGCTGTGAATCAAACGGCAGATAAACAGAGGCTGCAATGATCCATCTGGATTCACCATTTGACTGAATRTCCACCTGCACTGCTACAGCATCACCTGTTGTTAGGTGGGGCAGTGCAGTGTATCATACACCTCTTGTCAGTACTCCTGCTGCTCTGGGTCTGAGGCTGCACACATCATATAGAAGTGTGCCCCCAGGGAGTCCCAGGCCTCATATCATAGACTTAACTACCCAAGGTTCCTTGATGAAGGCTATGCCTGTATGCATTCTGCTAAGGCAGGTACACAACAATGTACTGGCATCTTTACAATGATGCAAGTTGCTCTGAAAGAATTCCATCATCCTCTGTAGGCTGTGGGCAATAATCTAAAACAAAAACTGACTCATGGTCTGATTCCCCCCGCAGAGCCTTCGTCACATCCTTCATCTTCATCACCCTCCCCTCCCAATGGGTCGTCAGACTTCAGGTACCATGGTAACGCTGACGGTGCCGGTTCAGCAGAGGACTCAGACTCTGGCGCCCATGGGATCCACCTCCTGCTGAGACCCCCAGACCTCCTGTCCCCTAGTCTGCCCCCACCCCTCCCGCCATTCAGCCAGCCCACCCTAACCCCTCCTCCCCCCTGGGAGCAGGGCCCTTCCCTGGAGGAGGCCTGGGGCTCCGGGGACTACCTGGAGACTCTGTCCTTCATGGTGCCGGATGGTGAGGAGCTGTCCCTTGCCACACCACTGCCCAGCCAMCCCTGGGACCCAGACTCTGAGGAGGACTGGGTCTCCTACGACACCGACTTCCCCATCCGACCAACTCTTCCCCTGTCCTCTCATCTCCCCCTCTCCCCTTCCTCCTCTATCCCTAACATAGTTCTGCACAGCCACCCTGCCCCACCAGAGGGCTTCCCCTCCTGGGACCAGGACTACGATCCAGAGGACATGATCCCTYTGGAACCGACAGAGGTCCTGCTGCCAGACATGAACAGTCTGGAGTACTACACAAACCTGCTGGCCCGGGAGCGGGAACGAGAGAAGGAACGGGAGCGGCAGCGGGAGAAGGAACGGGAGCGGGAACGAGAGAAGGAACGGGAGCGGCAGCGGGAGAAGGAACGGGAGCAGCAACGAGAGAAGGAACGGGAGAAGGAACGGGAGAAGGAACGGGAGAAGGAACGGGAGAAAGAACAGGAGAAGGAACAGGAGAAGGAACAAGAGAAAGAACGAGAGAAGGAACGGGAGAAGGAACAAGAGAAGGAACGGGAGAAGGAACGACAGAAGGAACAGGAAAAGGAACGGGAGAAGGAACAGGAAAAGGAACGGGAGAAGGAACAGGAAAAGGAACGGGAGAAGGAACAGGAAAAGGAACGGGAGAAGGAACAGGAAAAGGAACGGGAGAAGGAACGAGAACAGGAAGAGAAGAAAAAGAAGGATCATGTGAACCAGACTAAGTCTGGACCATTCATTAGTCCTACAAGAACACAAGCCCAACATCCTCTTCCTACCCCGACCCTGACCCCCAGTCCCCCACCTCCCCTGGAGCCCAAACACCCCCCACCAGGACACCTTCCTCCTCTCACACCTTCACCTACCCTCTCAGGTGAGGAGAAGCTCCCTGCTCCATCAGCCACCCAAAGAACSTCCTCCACCTTCACTCCAACTGCTCCAAAATCCAAAGACCATAGTCCTGTCCCCAGTAGACACCCACTTCCTACACCACCCAACACCACCAGCAGGGCACCCTTCCCTCCCTCGTTAGGACCACCCACCCATACCAACAAACCCAGGAGACCTTTGGTGGTCACCGAGAAGCCAACAAAGTCTCTGCCTACAACCTCCACCACCCAGATGACCTCCATTAGCCTGACCAGAGCCACCCCCGTCACCACACCCAGGAGCGCCCAGACTCCGCCCATCAGGCAGTACCTGTGCAACGTCACCAAGCCCGAGCTGTACCTGGTCAGAGTGGGTAAGAGTTTTCCACTGGTCATGTGACTGGAAGTCCAGGTCCTTGGTCCAGTCAGCTGAGATTTGTGTGTTTGTGTCTGCAGTAAGTTCCAAAGGCTCGTCAGCCGGTTTCAGTCAGCTCCGAGACCTGCTGAGGAGGGAATTCAACCGCTCCGTGGAGCTGCAGGTAACMATGGACAGTTATCTTCTTGTACTGTTCAGTTAAGTTTTTTTTTAGGTCCAGTTAAGGTTCCAGTTTTGGACCAGTTAGGCTTCTGGTTTTGGGTCAATTAAGGTTCTTGTTTTGGGCCAGTTATAGTTCTGGGATTGGTCCAGTTAAGCTTCTGGGTTTTGTCCAGTTTAGCTTCTGGTTTGGTCCAGTTCAGGTTCTTCTTTTGGTCCAGTTAAGTTTCAAGTTTTGGTCCAGTTAAGCTTCTGATTTTGGTCCTGTTAAGCTTATAATTTTGGTCCACTTGAGTTTCTAGTTTTGGTCCAGTAAAGCCTCTGGTTTGGTCCAGTTCAGGTTCTTCTTTTGGTGCAGTTAAGGTTCTGTTTTGGTCTTGTTAAGGTTCTGGTTTTAGTCCAGCTAAGTTTCTAGTTTTGGTCCAGTTATGGTCCTGGTTTTGGTTCGGTTAAATTCTGGTTTTGATTCAGTTAAATTTCTGGATTTGGTCCAGTTACATTCCTGGTTTTGGTCCAGTTTAGGTTCTGGTTTTAGTCCAGTTAAGTTTCTAGTTTTGGTCCAGTTAAGGTCCTGGTTTGGTCCAGTTAAGTTTCTGGTTTTGGTCCAGTTATATTTCTGGTTTTGGTCCAGTTATATTTCTGGTTTTGGTCCAGTTAAGCTTCCAGTTTAGCCCGGTTCCACTATTCTTTTGGTCCATTTAAGTTTCTGGTTTTGGTCCAGTTTAGGTAATCTTTTTGGTCCAGTAGAGGCTCTGKTTTTGGTCCAKTTTAGGTTCTTTTTTGGTACAGTTTAGGCTCTGGTGCTGGTCCAGTTAAGGTCCTGGTTTTGGTCCAGTGAAGCTCCTGGTTTGGTCCAGTTTAGGTTCTTCTCTTGGTCCAGTTTGTGCCYTGGATTTGGTCCAGTTTAGKCTGTCGTTTTGGTCCAGTTAAGGTCCTGGTTTTGGTCCAGTTAAGCCTAAGGTTTGGTCCAATTTAGGTTCTTCTGTTGGTCCAGTTTATGCCCTGGTATTGGTCCAGTTTAGGCTGTGGTTTTAGTCCAGTTAAGGTCCTGATTTTGGTCCAGTTAAGCTTCTGGTTTGGTCCAGTTTAGGCTCTGGTTTTGGTCCAGTTTAGGTTCTGGTTTTGGTCCAGTTTAGGCTCTGTTTTTGATCCAGTTTAAGTTCTGGTTTTGGTCTAATTAAGCTTCTGGTTTGGTCCAGTTTAGGTTCTTTTTTGGTCCAGTTTATGCCCTGGTATTGGTCCAGTTTAGGCTCTGGTTTTGGTCCAGTTTAAGTTCTGGTTTTGGTCCATTTAAGGTCCTGATTTTGGTCTAATTAAGCTTCTAGTTTGGTCCAGTTTAGGTTCTTCTGTTGGTCCAGTTTTTGCCCTGGTATTGGTCCAGTTTAGGCTCTGGTTTTGGTCCAGTTTAAGTTCTGGTTTTGGTCTAGTTAAGGTCCTGATTTTGGTCTAATTAAGCTTCTGGTTTGGTCCAGTTTAGGTTCTTTTTTGGTCCAGTTTATGCTCTGGTTTTGGTCCAGTTTAGGCTCTGTTTTTAGTCCACTTAAGATCCTGATTTTGGTTTAGCTTAAGTTCTGGTTCTGTTAAAGTTCTGGTTTTCAGTCCTTTTTCCACCCTGATGATTGACATTCATGTCCTCCACAGTTCCTCAGAACTCCATCCAGTTTTGCCTTCCGTGTGGTGTCGGGTCCGATGATCTTCACCGCCATATCGGTCATCAACGCTGTCCGCCAGGCGCCGCGAGGCTCAGGTCCGGTTCCCAACGTGTCGCCGCTGTACACCATACCTGACCTCCGGTACCAGGTCCACTCGGTGCTGCAGTTTGTCCCCGCCCACGCAGACATAAGAGTGTGTAACTTCACTGAGCGTGTGGAGCGCGGGCTGATAACGGCGTACACCGAGGCACGGAGAAGGTCCAATGAGATGGGGAACATCACCATCCAGGTGACAGAACTTGTTCTGAGATGTGACTTTAGTTCTTGATGTGTTTTAATTACAAGTTTTTGACTTTGTCTGCAGCTGCTGAACGTCACGTTGGGCCCAGCCCGGCCTGCAGCAGGGCAGAAGGTTCCTGTGGATATCATGTTCGCAGTGCGAGACGGAGGAGGTTATTTGACAGGGTCAGAGATCAGTGAACACCTGAGGAAGCTCAGCCTGGTGGAGTTCAGCTTCTACGTTGGGTTTCCTGCACAGCAGATCGCAGAACGTACGCCTCAAACACATCAAACCTGCATCAACTTTAGACAACTGAAGGGTTAAACTGGTTTACCTGGCGCCACCTGCAGGCTGCTGGTTGTCATCACAGCTGACCCTCATTAGTTAAACAGAGGCCATAAAGTTTTTCTTACAGTAGATTAATTAAAACTGAACAAAAAAGATTTGAAAGTGATAAAAAGTTCACACTACTTGTATCATATAACTACAAATACATGTCATTATATCATATTACTAACGAGGTATGACAGGTCATTATGTCATAATTTAAAAGTATGGCAGGCCACTGCATCATATACGTAATTAACAAGGTGTAGCAGGTTGTTGTATCATATAATCAAAATATACCATACAGAATTTTTTTAAGTTTCACTTTTTCTTTTATAAAAATAATTTTTCCATTTCCAAAAAAAAAAAACTTTTTAACAGAATTAATGGCACTGATTTAGTTCCATACAATTCTTCATACTTTTATTATCGTCTGTAATGCTTGTGTTGGGTTTCACTGAACGTGTTTTTCACAGCCTTCCATTACCCTGAGCTGAACACATCTCACAAACTGAAATCCACCTGGGTCTGCACAGGTAAGAACACACCTGTGTGAACCACCTGTTAGCACTTAGCTGTTAGTTTGTGAGTCTCAGAGTCCTGTGAACTGTCCTCGGGTTCTTTCAGTCCTGCTGGGGGTTCAGGAGCAGCAGGTAGCTGAGAGAAGTTTTAAAGCCCGACTTGAGCGGCGTCTGGCTCTTCTGCTGGAGGAGGGGCTACAGGAGACCAGCAGGAGGCGCTGGAGGAGGGCTACGGCTGTGGGCAGCAACAACCTGCAGGTAAACAGCTGCAAACTGCACTTCTCCTTACAGGAGGGAGGAAAGGTCTACAGTCGGAGAGGTTGAGGACTCACTGAGTCCAGCAACAGGTCTTTGCTCACATGTTCACCTGTTGTGTCTCAGGTGGTGCGGGTTTCCAGGCTGTCGGGGCCWGAGCGCCCCCTGGAGGTGTTCTACTTTGTAGAGGGTCCAGGTGGAGTGAGGGTCCGAGCTGAGGTCACCGCTGCCACCATGAACCGTCTGGACCTTCAGAGGGCCGCCATCGTTCTCGGACACAGAGTCCAGAGACCTCTGGCCCAACGTGAGTCAAAAACCAAATCTGTCCACGTACTTTTAAAATCTGATGTTCACGTGTTCCTCACATGACCTTCTCTGTTCTTAACATGTTCCTCACATGTTCCTCACATGTTCCTCACATGTTCCATACATGTTCCACATGTTACATGTTCCTCTCCTGTGCCTCACATGTTCCTCACATGACCTTCTCTGTTCTTAACATGTTCCTCACATGTTCCATACATGTTCCACATGTTACATGTTCCTCTCCTGTGCCTCACATGTTCCTCACATGTTCCTCACATGTTCCACATGTTCCTCACGTTTCACGTGTTACATGTTCCTCTCCTGTGCCTCACATGTTCCTCACGTTTCACGTGTTACATGTTCCTCTCCTGTGCCTCACATGTTCCTCACATGACCTTCTCTGTTCTTAACATGTTCCACATGTTACATGTTCCTCTCCTGTGCCTCACATGTTCCTCACATGTTCCTCACCTGTTCCACATGTTACATGTTCCTCTCCTGTGCCTCACATGTTCCTCACATTCCTCACCTTTGCCTCATGTTCCTCACATTCCTCACATGTTCCTCACCTGTTCCTCTCCTGTTCCTCACATGTTCCTCACATGTTCCTCACCTGTAACTCTCCTGTTACTCACATGTTCCTCACATGTTCCTCACCTGTAACTCTCCTGTGCCTCACATGTTCCTCACCTGTTCCTCTCCTGTGCCTCACATGTTCCTCACATGTTCCACATGTGACATGTTCCTGTCCTGTGCCTCACCTGTAACTCTCCTGTTACTCACATGTTCCTCACATGTTCCTCACCTGTAACTCTCCTGTGCCTCACATGTTCCTCACCTGTAACTCTCCTGTGCCTCACATGTTCCTCACCTGTAACTCTCCTGTGCCTCACATGTTCCTCACCTGTAACTCTCC